ATTGGTAACCATGGGATTGTTGGAAGACTGGCCCCAGGATCATGAAACATCTTAAGCTTAAGTCAAAAAATGTATATTCCACTAAAATGATTTAGAAAATTAATGTAGCAGTCCAAAATGAAAATGCTTTTTCACTTTGCAGCAATAAACTGCTGTTGCATGCAAATTATGAGTTTAGATTCACAAGTAATAAATATTTTATGGACGACTGAAATTTTGACTTTTAAAAGTCTATTTCATGATCCTGGGGCCTGGTCTCGAAAAACCACCTAGATATTTAGATATATTGACAATAGCTATTTCCATTCACATGTCGACACGATATACTCCAGTGAGCTTGAAATAAAAGATACCACAGAGTCTGATACATCTGTTTCATATTTAGATATTTTACTAGAAAAAGACGATAATGGTAATCTGACAACAAAGCTTTATGATTAGCGTGATGACTCTAACTTTTCAATCGTCAACTTCCCTTACTTATGCAGCAATATACCTTTATGACTTGCATATGGGGTTTATATCTGTCAATGATTCAATACGCAAGAGTATGCGCTACGTATGAACAATTTCTAAATCGAGGTAAGTTATTGACAAACAAATTGATGAAACACGAATATCAACAGTCTCGTTTGAAGTCATCATTTTGTAAGTTCATTTGTTGATACAATGACCTTGTCAGCAAGTACAATCTATCACTAAGTCAAATGCTGACTGACGTCTTTCATACTAATTGTTAGGCCATTATTTACACACTGAAATGTCGACGGTTTGCTCTGCTCCTGAATGGACTTGTGAGCTTGAATAAATTAATGTTCGTTATTTCCATATATTTTATGAAACTCGGACATTTTAGTGTCTTGTGATTGGTCATCAATAAAATGAATTCCTTAAAAATCACTCTGATTCAACACAAAAGTATACTGATATTAAAAGGATGCTGGAGTTCCTCATTGACAACATTTATGTAGTCTTCAGAGACCAGGACTTCCTAGATGTTGGAAATGTGATGGGCACTAATTGTGCTTCTTTATTAGCCGACTTGTCTTTATATTCCTATGACGCAGAATTTATTCAAATACTTCTACATGAGAAGAAAAAAAAAACCACTTTCTGTGATCTTCAACACGGCATTCAGATACATGTATATCTGTGATGTTTTGATATCAATTAACAGTAGTTACTTCCATTCATATGTGGACTCTATATATCCCAGTGAACTTGAAGTAAAAGACACCACTAATCTGCCACATCTGTTTCATATTTAGATGTTTTACTGACTATAGACGATAAAGGCCAACTAACAACTAAATTGCAAAATTGTAAATGCAAAAAGAGATCGACCTTTTAAAAACTCAAAAAATTCTAATTAAGACTTTTAAACAGTACATCTTTTCAAGTAAGTTCACAAAACCAGCAAAATTAAGTATTGGGGCTTTAAAACATGTAATTACTGATAGAATTAGAATTGAAAAGTTTATACTGTTTAAAAAAATGTCAATGTGACGAATTTACAAGACATAGTCAGGAAATTGATGAAAAACTTTAAAAACTCTAAAATCATTTTATTAACAATATATTGAAAAGTTTAGTTCCCCCTTTTCTTCCCCCTTCTCTCTCTTCCTTTCTCAATCTCTAAAAATTCTTTCACACATGTTTTGTATTGTATGTAATTGGGATTGTGTGCATTTGTGATATGTGCGAATTAAGAATAAATAATTTTTTTTTAAAAATACAACAAAACTGTATGACAAACAGAATGACTTCAGCTTTTCCATCGTTTCCTTGTTGACTGACCGACGTTTTTCATACTAGTTGTTAGACCATTGTTTACACACTGAATTGTCGACTGATTTTTCGTTATTTCCCGATTATGACAAGGAGCACACGGCGGGCGTAACCGGTCGGCAAGGGATGCTCGCTTCCCCATGGCACCTGAACCCACCTCTGATTTTTAGAGTTCCGTGTTTGCTCTGCTCCTGATTTGTATTGTTTGAATGGACTTTTGAGTTTGAATACTGTTCGCTATCTCCATATATTTCATTGATTAATTCCCCTTGGAGGGAGCATGACCTTACATTTAAACAAACTGAATTACTTTACCCAAGAACGATGTGGCAAAATTTGGTTAAATTTGATTATGTGATTCTTGCGGATGTGAAAATAAACGGCATACAAACAGACGGACAAGCTTAGATCAGAAAACTCATCTGTGGCTTTGGCTCAGTTGAGCTAAATTCAATGTGCAGAGGTTGTGAGAAACCTCACATTATTTATTCATACAGTCTAATGATCTTAAAACTGCAGAGTCTGTGTACATTTAAAAACAGTCGGACTACCATCCTCTGGTCCCGTCCTATTCTAGTAATTTATAATTTGTGTAATAATTGGACATCATGATTTCTCCTTTATCTTGAAATCAAGTAAAATAGCTTAATTTTCATAATGTAGACTGCGAAATTACTTGACTGTCATGAAAAATCATGGATTTATTAAAAGATTAGCGATATGTTATGTTATGGTGTCAACGATTAAAAAAGAATTGAAAATACGTGAGCATATAGGATTTAAGCCCAGTTGTACATGTTTACAAATTTTCATGACTTTTAGGTCAGATTCCCATTATTACAAAATAGTTAAAGCCCAAAAAATATGTTTTCCTTTGTAAAACTTATTCCAATTGTGAACATAGTAAGCCATCTTCTCGAAAGGTGTGTATACAATAAGTGATTTTTTAAAACAAAGTTAATTAAAAATGTGTTTGCATATTAGGCTAACCTTACTGTGGCTATCTGTCCTTACCTTAGTCCAAACAGGTGGTCATTTACAAATTTAAAATTAAGGTATCTTACCCATTATACATTGTAGCCTCAGATTCGATGAAATTAAATGCATAACAGATAGGTATGGGCTGAATACTCAGTATATTTAGACATAATTTTCATGTTTTAGTACCAGTATGTAAGAGCGGAGCGTGCCCTAATTTGTAACTTCATCCTGTCCTTGAAGAGTTATCCCCCTTTGCTTTAATCAATAAAAATCATTTCAAAAAAATCTATCTGGTAAAAAATAGTTTTCAATCTTTTTTTCTATTGCTAATGATTAAATGCATCTTTCCGCCACATCATTTGTTGATATTCTTAATATTTAAATTTTTATTTTAAACATTTGCTTGTCCCCATTGACTCCAATGCAATTTTCATTAGTTTCAGCTTAGGTAATTACATTTTTTGAAAATTTCTTTTGGTAAACCCTTTTCTACTCTGAAAATGCTCTGAATAAATATCAGACTATTTTGTATATGATGGATATTTAATTTAGAAAATTTGGTCCTAATATGGATCGGATACCTTAATGTAATATAAACTTGAATTAATTTCGAATTTAGTATAGTCCCCTGCTACCATTGAAACTGGGAGAGGGGAGGGGACTCTACGTCTTAATCCGCCTTTCTGTTTGGATCTGGTTCACTATTTGTAGATAAATCATGGAATTTTTATCCTTTTCAGGTGACATACTGATATCTGTTTGCGTCTGTAGTGTGTATAAATAATTATAAAACTTCTCGCATTTAATATTTAATAAAATTATAATTAAAGATTGTGGGTAATACAGGACGTTCAAAAAACGTAAATATAAGCATTAAATTATTAATTTTTGGAAGATGTAGTAACCGCGTTACTCAATCGTTGGCACACGCCGTTGTAGTTATGAGTACGTATTTCAAAAAATAATTATTCAATAAGTTTGTTAGCTCATCTAAGCTCAAGTGGGCTCTTCTCCTCAAAGTTTTCCATCGTCCGTCCGTCTGTCTGCTAACTTTTCAGCTCACTTAAACCAAATGCTTAAGTGAGCTTTTCTGATCGAAGTTTGTCTGTCTCTCAACTTCTCACCATTTTTTGGTATAATTTCTTCTCAATAAAGAAAACACTGGACCAAACTTGAAATAAACCATCCTTGGGTTAAAGGGATTCAAGTTTGTTCAAATGAAGTGCCAAACCCTTTTGAAAGGCGAGATAATCAAGAAAAGACAAAAATAGAATGGTTGTTAAAAAAATCTTCACAATGATCACTGGACCAGAAAAGATGAACAATGTATGAAGGTTTTCCGATTGACACTGTGTAAATTCAATCTTTTTCAACTCATGACAATAGATGCAAGCATCTCGGGAGTGTATAATCATGGTCCTTCGGGGTTAGGGTGGGGCCTCAGTAGGGGATCAAGGTTTTAAATAGGAATAAATGTATAATGAATAAAATAATTTCTTATACCTCTGTGTATTTTTTTTCGATATTAAAAAATAATAAACTTGCTCTTTTTAAAAATAGCCTCTACCATGAAATGGACTACTTGAACATGATGAAATAGTCGTCGATATTTTCGATTTCCCTCTTGTTTCATCTGGGAAATTCTGTTTTATCCGGATCATGACAAAAATTACAAAGTCTGATAAGATAAGTCTGCTTTGGTATAATGAAACACCTATTTCCTGACTATTCGGACAATTCCAAGTTTATTGTCCACCTGGACAGCAACTATTTCACTCAGCTATGCTTCAGGAATACATGTATTTTAGTGTAGAATCAAATTCAAATCAGGGTCCTTGAGGTCACATAAAAATGTGAAAGGGAAATAAATAAGGGGTATCTTAGATGAATAAATGAGTGGTGGGGGAGATGGGTTGAGGAGAGGAATTAACAAGAGGCCCAAGGGCCTTGTATCGCTCTTCTGATAAACTGTACAACCTATCACTTCTATTTGAAGCATCTAAGTATCCTGTATACTTAGATAAACCCTTGAAATTCCAATTCACACTCTGAGAACCCAAGATGATTCTAAGCCAATTAGTACCTGAGAGTTGGTCATGGTGACCTACTTATAACTTATAACTTTGGCTCAGAAGAGCTAAAAAGTCACTGCATGGCTGTCAGGTGACCGTTGCATCCCAAGTGCCTTCTAAATAAGTTTGATTAATCTTATATACAAGTTGAAGTCAGAATATTTTTTAAACCATTTTATTCTCCAACATGGAGCAAACATAAGCAGCATGGCCATCTCTGAGACCAAATATACATCACAATGAACACTTACTAATTAACAGATCTTTCCCCAAAAAAAAAAAAAAAAACAATCAGTGAGTCTAAATAATAAAATGTATATAGAACTTTGGTTCATTTATAATAACCTATTGGAGTACTATTGACAACAAACAATGAAAATAATATTGCAATCCTGCTACAAGAAATACTATTTTCAGTCATATCTTGTAAGCCAAGATGAAAGTAATTGTATACAATCCTGTAATTTCTGGAATTTCATTTTATTTATATATGTTACATATCTTGGCAACAGCTGGCTACATGCACAAGATATTCACAAAAATGTCTTTAAACATTGTTAAAGATGTCTTCATTTCAATTGCACTAAACACATGTACAATAAAAAAAAATGGTGTGCCTTTTATTTATTTTCATAGGATGTTCTTCACAGACAGTAAGCGATTTCCACATAAAGCTTAAGAGGATAAATATAAAACATCTTGCGTGAAAAGCTTTCGCAACTGCATGTGTTTTTTTTATTATTATTTTTGGGTTTAAAACACTCTTGATAAAACAGACTGCTGACTTTGACTGGATTTTTTTACTTTATTTGACTTTGAAATAAGCATCAACCTCATTTTCGCCTCATACGGACTTCCCTGTCTAATTTTTCATCGGCATCATCGTCGCTATGGTAACCATGACCTGTCACAGTTCCTTTCCTGGTAGCCTGCATTAAATCATCATCAGGTCCTGTGCGGTTTTCGTACAACAAAACATTCAAAGTTTCTTCAAATATTCGGGCCTCTGGAAACTCAACCTATTTCACAAATAAAAGATTTATAAAAGTATTAAAATCTAAAAATATTAAAATTTATAAATTTCTGAAACCATTTATGCAAATGTTATTTAAGGATTTAATGCCTATTTTTAAAAATGTTCACAGTGCATTAATACATTGTAAATACACGTATTTGTATCTACGCCTGTTTGCTTTATGATTCCTGAGGTGCAGAATCATTTAATTATTTAATCATTTGACATTTATTTACCACTTCTTTTATGTATTTATTTTTTTACGCATTAATATCACTGTGGTGTCACCTTTGTGCTTTTTGACATATGAACCAAAGTGTGTATATAACTTATAAAGTTGGGAAATCTAAATATGATTCAACAGATGAATGCCAAGAAAGTTATAATTTTTAGTTGGGTCTTTTTAAAGCCCCCCTCTCCCCCTTTTTTCTAAGTATGTGTAATCGCCATCAAAAGAACTAAAAAGTACAGGTATGTATGAAGTATGTACATGTATTAAAACTAATTCCAATTTATACGTAAATTACAGCCAACACAACAGGTGATACATGTATCATATACCTTTTTTTATTGTCAATAATGCCCAGACTCCCACCTCCCACCCCCCACCCATCCATATTCCAACTTACATTAATATGTTCTTAAAAAGAGATACAAGTATTAACAGTATTATAACAAAATGAAGAGCAGCTATCTTTACAATAAGAAAACAAATATTGCACCTTTATGACCTTACCTTTGTGTGTTTCTTATCTGTTCCATAAACAATGGATGTGCAGCACACCTCTGAAATCTTGGATCCATGCCCAAAAAATGACCAACAGCAAATCTCATTGCTTCCAATCACATCTTTAATGAAGAGGACTCTTCTGTTGAACCTCAGAGACAACTTGTCAAATAACTCCAGATTTTTCAATAAATTGTCATCGGAGTTGCTAAAATTAAAAAAAAAAAATAATTACAAAACTTTTCAGTACAGTAATGAAGACCCTATTACATACATGTGGAAATTTCAATTTTGGGTCAATTGCTTTAAATTTCACATACCAATTACTGGTATAATGTTTTACATTTTAATGAAATCAAGGCTTACTTAGAAAAATGCTAAAATGCTTATTAATAAAAATTACCCTCTTCAGAAAATATAACTGCAATAAATTTGTATATACTACCATTACCTTGTGTAAGAATACTTGTTGTTGTGACGATTGCAGATCAACTTTACCACAGGCTGAAGAGAAAAACATCGAAAAATTAATGTAGGTTATGAAAGCTGAACAAAATTGGACATCTCATCAATACTGTAATTGGATTGAAACAATGCAAGAGCTGATTTTCATAAGATTTAAACAGGCATAGGAGCATGATGAAAATCTTTGTTTAATAAAAATGTTCACATTTTTAAACTTTTTTTTTAAAATATTGACTAGTGTATGATATAGAAGATTTTTAACACAGCTATATATTTCTAATTTGAATATTATGCTGACTTTCTATACACTGCTGAAGAATCAGGAAATGTTTTGTTAAACATTAAATCAGCTGTACAGATATGTAAATACCGTCTGTGTAGATGATATGAGGTGCTGCTCCTCTCGACTTGACGTAATCAGAGGGACTTTACACACTGGTTCTACTCCTTTGTCAAGATTCTTCAGGGCTGCCTCCACAAGATTGACCAGGTCCTGCACCAAGTAATACTTAGCCTCTTGTAGAAGTTCCTGCAGTTCTCGTCTTGTCTCTGGAAGAGGTATTGAGCCATCTCGAAGAAAGTTTAGAATCTGTCCAAATTGTCTACCATTCCTGTCTATCAAGATCCAACCTGTAAATGAACACAAGTCTTTGTGCATAAATCCCAATTAAATGTGGAAACATGATTTAAACAATTCTGAAACACTTTACAGTCTTTTCAATACAAAATGTAGAAATCAAGTAATACTATTAGCGAAACTTAGACATACATAGACAATACATTAACATGTACTTGCAACATGTGAAGCATGGTTTGAACCCACAGCCCCTGGTATGGTAAGCTAATCAGTTAATTTTTCTTAAGAGTTAGGCATCTACCTAATGGAACCAAGTGCAACAGAATTAGAGAAAAGGAGGAAATGTATGGACCAGGAATTGAACTTGGGATGCCTGCATCACTAGTCAGGTGCTCTACCAACTGAGCTACCCAGGCCAATATCCACAGCCCAAACCATTTCATTCCTCCTTCCTACCAAAACACAATGCAAGTTCTTATTTGCTCCTCGTAGAACTTTCTGCTGGAAGTCCAGGGGTGGTCAATAGCACCAAATTATTAATAGGAAAGGAGGAGATGTATGGCTGGAGTTGAACCCCGGACCCCTGCATCACTAATCAGGAGCTCTACCAACTGAACTACCCAGGAAGATATCCATAGCCTAAACCATTACACCAGATTATTAAATCTGACCACATTTCTCCTTTTCTATAAAATACATTTGATGCTAGGAACACGAATAGTATCAGGAACAGGTAAAAGTTATGAATGTGGCAGTCATCAAGTTACGAGATAACTTAGTACTGCAGCTGACTTAATCTGGGTCTCCATGTCAAATTATCTTCTTTCTCAAAACAATGAACAGGAGTTTATGCAATGCCAAAGCAGGTAAAATATTCAGATCTATATATAAGGCCTAAATGATCACGTATGGATCAGCCACTGTTGAGATTTAAGCATGGTAACCCTACCTTCAGAATCTGTTAAGACCTCCATTCTACCACTAAACATAGCCCTCAACATCGTATCTTGTTTGGTTAACGTCCCAATTGTGGTGTAATGAAGGGACCCTCCAACATTTAGTTTTACATATTTGGAGGAGTTTCCTTTTATCACTGTTTTGGTTTCGCCAGACATCATCTAAGAGAATTGCAATGAGGGCTGGTCCAAAACGGAATATATTGCCCCTCTGAAAAATCTTTATATCTACATGAAAATCGTATATATACGAACTCAAATATGTACAAATCTATTTTTAACAATATTTATAATTAGATTGTTTGACGTCATACTTGGGCGTAATATTTAGTTTCGTAAATTTTATTGGAAGAGTCTTTGAATGCTTAAAACCAAAATATTATCAATAATACAACTAAATTATAGACAGTATATATCTTTATGCATGGAAATTGACCAAAATTGAAGATTTATTTTCTTCAATTAAAAAAAGGCTTAAATCCGAAACTAATTAGAAATAATCATAATCTTCAATGTGATTTATAATGGGAAATTGGGTGATATTTGAAGCATGCTTACAAATGACACTGATTTTCCCTTGACATTCCTTTTTGTTGAAAGATGGCAGACGAAGCACTTGCAAGAGCAGGCCTTCATTTTGATGAATTAAACAAAATAAGAGTTTTGGAACCAGACGTAGCCCAACAAACAGTAGAACTGAAAGAAGAATGCAAAGAATTTGTTGATAGTTAGTATATTTACAAACATTTTTTCTCAAATGCAGTATATCATAAAAGACATTGAAAATGTAAATAAACTTTATGCCAAACTCATAATAAAAAGAAATAAACAGAGAAGTGACTGGGGGGACTATATGACTTGTGTGTGTATCGGCGATGTGCTCGAAATATTCATTAAAGAAACAAAGCTTAAATGAATTGGGTTTAGACGATGTAGTGTGTTACATGCCATTATAACAATTTAGTTATCTCCATTTTCAGAAATAGGGGATTTTCAAAAGATAGTGGGATCATTCATTGAAGTAGTTGACAATGTTTCCAAGGAAGTTGAAAAAGAGAAGATGAAGGTAAAAGCATTGTTGACTCATATTTATTGTACTGTATTGATTAATATTTTGAAGTGACCATTCGGACAAACAAAGATTATTTATTGAAGTGAATACTCATAAACAACCTATATACATTTTAAACTGAGATCCACCTCTCTATAATGCATGTAACATTGGAAGGATGAGGCCATAAAAAATTAATTAATAGTTTCTCAGGCCAAAAATTTCAAAATTCAATGCGGCAGGCAGGTTCTTTTTTTCTTTTTTCTTTTTTTTGGAAGCAGGTGTTATACCTTTTTTCATGTTAGTCGTTTAACAAAATGATGATATCAACTGATTCTTACTTTTTTTGTTCTCTCATTAATTATAATATGCATTCAACTTTAAATAATGTTATTCCAAACAAAGTTAATTCATAAAGTACTGTATTAACAAGAAACTAATAAAAACGTCTATCTATTAGCATATATGAAAAGGGGAAGAACTCAATTTTCTTTTTCAACTTGAAAAAATAGAAAATTGAGTTATTTCCCTTTTCAATATGTCAATAAAATTGATCAATGCGGCAGTGTTTGACCTGATGCAGCGGTGCCTGAGAAACTATTGATTAATTTTTTTTGGCCTGAGGCATATCAAGTTGAATGTGATATCACATCATCATATGTCTGACAGTTGCATTTCCATAAGCATGATAAGGGAGTATAAAGAGTGAAAGTTTTTTTCAAAGGCCTTGATATATATTTTTATGAGAAGACTCAGCCATTTTCTTCCTTTTTGCCCACTGCAAGACCTTAATCTTGGTCGCCTATAGATATCTCTTGTAACAATTATTAGTAACAGAGGGTATGCTGGGTATAAAGTAATACTCCTAGCTCATAGTATGAAAAAAGTATTGTAATAACTAATTGATATATTAATTAAGATTTACAAATTGGCCAAAGATACATTTTGAAGGATCATCAGAGTTTTGTGGAATGTCCACAACTGTCAGCAAGACCAATAAAAACAAAATGCTTGGAGCAATGAATTTCTTGGATTCTCAGACCAGATGCAGGGTTCAACATTAACTTTTAAAGTCAGACTTGTAGACCTGAAAATTTTGTAGGCCTGACCTCAACTTCATTAGATCAGACCTAATTTCTGTGGATTATTGAATGACTTTACTAAACTAATGACATGAACAAAACCATAGTCAAAGAACAACTTCGTCAATGTAAACCAATCAATGTTTTTTTTTTGGGGGGGGGGGGGTGCAAAAAAAATATATTGCCAAATAATTTTTTTTATTGAATTCAAGAAAAATATCATAAAGGGAGATGTATCGTATCTCAACTCAATTTAGTTCTAGACCTACTTTAATTAAAACATATACTGCACATCAAGAAATTGATCCAGCAGGAAGGAAAATTCTCAGTAGAGTAAAGCCTTTATGGTAAAATGAAAGGCGGTAAGATGATCAAAATATTGATATGCATACTAATAATATAGTAAAAAATTATTCTTGCAGTCATTAAACTACATGTATTATAGAACTATAAAACAAGTAGTTTTCCAAAATGAATCTTTTCAAAATTATTTTATTTTTCAATGGAATCAAAAAGTTAAAGTGAAACCTTCACATCATCAAAACAAGAAAACATGATTGATCAACTGTCTAGAAATCGTTAAATAATAGTTTTGCTTCATTTGAACTTAAAGAGTTTTTTACACAACCAGTTGGGCTACATTGATGCAAAATAAACTGGACCATACCAAACTTTTACTTGTCTTGAGTCGGTCGGCCATGCCTTAATGTTGAGCCCTGAGATGACCGAGTAATTTGAACTTGTATAAAATCAAAAAGTATCTAGACTGACCTTTGTTTGGAAGGAGGAATTCTTGAACTTTACTTGTCTATCAAAATTTTTGACAGTCTTAAAATAAAACTTTTAACAACTCAGAATTATGCATGAATGTTTTTTTTATGTTATTAATGAGTCAACAGTAAAATTATATTTAAAAAAAAAAAAGAGGCTTGCAAAGAAATATAATGGTATATGAATGTACATGTAAATAGTACAAAATATTAATCAGTACATGTAGAATAGTTATATGAATCTACTTATATACATTGTATTTAATCCAAAGTAAATTTTTATATAGGCTCTTGGATCCAGAAATTTACTCAAGTCTATTGCGAAGCAACGAGAAGCACAACAACAACAATTACAAGCACTTATAACTGAAAAGAAAATGCAGTTAGAGAGGTATGTCACTCATTTATGTTCCGAGTCAGAGCCCCAAATGAACCTTTCTGATCTTTTTTGTAAGTGCTCATTTGTCTTTTTCAATTATATAGGTATAAGCAAAAACTTTCACATTTTCCTCATCTTCTAAAGTTCTACACCAATGCAGCAAAATTAATTGATATAAAACATTCTTGGGTAAAGGGAATATAAGTTTAAAGGGAATTTAACTGAGAAATAGTGAAAATAGACACTTTATTTGAAAATCTTTTTGTCAACATGCTTAAAATGATATAGTTCATAACTTAGCATAAATGCTTCATAGACAGATGAATTTTTTTGTTCTTATCCAAAGTTACTGTGGTTCTGAAAATTTCAAAAAATTAAAATCTAAAAAGGGGAAGTTAGGTTAATTAAAATCACCTTGGTGACTTCTTAAGGCTGTTTCATAAACCTTTGTCATATAAGGAAAGAGAACAATGCCAGTCACAGAAATACGGTCAAACCTCATCATCTCAAACTCGATGTGGCCAAGAAAAAAACTTTGTGATATCAGGGAGATATGAAATATTGAGGTTAAAATGCATGAAGAAAAAGTGGTTTGGACTTCAAACATGCAAATCCATTGTGTTAGAGATAATTTTTTTTTTTTTGGTATCTAAGTTAAAATACCGATATATTCATTCAAGATTGAAAACAGGTTTTACATGACACAAATATGGTCATCTAGCAAGTTTTACCTATTCTTTGAAACTGAATCATGTGTGGAAGTTCTAGATCTTTTGATACTAAATACTTTTGAAATTCTGCTTAACAACATGCTTTTGTAATGCACATATATTGAAACATTTGTCGAAATAATTTTCTTGGGTAATTAAAGCAAATTTGAACCAGATTTTTAAGTAAGATCATCAAGAATAAGCAAAGTTATGGACCATATCACTCTAAGAAACTAATGTAGAAAAGACAAAACCTGTATGAAACTTGTTTATTTAACATTCAATCATTTTATTTTAAATGCAAGTAATAACCCACAGAGCTAGGGTTTAGCCGAATTAAGGATTTACAATTTTGCAGAGGAATGAATAGAAAAATTCTTGAAACTTTCTTCAGAATAACCAGAATATATTTGATAAATGAAATGCAGATAACAGTTTGTTTGAGTCAGGTCATGACTCCTGGGGGCAACAATGAGGGACTGAAGTTTGTCTGTCCAAATTTTCAGTCCCAGAGGGCTACACTTCTATAGCTAGGAAATAATAGGGTTTAACACTTCAGAAAGAGTATTCTGGGAGTTTTAAGAATTCTTCTCCTCCTTGAGAACAAGAAGGCTAAGATTAGTCAAGTAAATATATGCATTCCTAAACTGTGTAGATTTTGATTTGTTGAAGTGCACACTCCTGCGGCTAGGATGGGATCACAGTTGTGGAAACAGTTGTCTTATGAAATATTGACACTGTTTGACCACAGAAAACTTTGTCACAATTTTGTTGGCAGTGTTAAAATACCTGTGTATGACACTGTTGTTGGTTGTGGTATTTTACAAGCCTTACTCAGGGAGTGTCCGACCCCAAGACAAACAATCTGGAGTGTGATAATTGCTTGCATAATAGTAATGAAACTACCGGTACTAAAAAGAACTTTTTTTTTTTATATATTTTCAGATTACGAATACAGTATGATGCTTTACAGAAAGAAGAAAATGAACAAAATGAATTCATAGAACAGTTCATATTACAAAAGTGATTTACAGAGTCTGTCCATGTTTGTATTATTGTATGTGTCTTAGAATATGTTAATAAAATACATGTATATATATTTTAATTTGGTATACTGAAGATTTATGTGTCAAAGGTGAAATTTATTATGGCTGCATAATGATAAATAAGAGCATCAAGAATAAATGACCAGGCCCCAGGATCTTGACTTGGACTTGAGATTTCAATCATCTGTAAAAAATATATATATATATATATATATATATGTACATGTATTACTTGTGAACCAAATTTCTTAATTTCCAGACAACAGCAGTTTAATATGCAAGGTTAAATGGCAGTTTCATTTTAGACTTGTTCTTCTAAATAATTTCATTATACTCTGAAGATTATGACTTAAACTTAAGATGCTTCATGATCCTGGGGCCAGATAGCAAGTGCTGATATGCACAATGCAATATAAGGGATTATCAAAAAGAATTTTTTATTGTACCCTTTATAGAACATGGGCATATAAAGTGTTGCCTACAGATGTCAATTTGATGATTATGAACTAATGGAAACCTCTGCCCTCAGAATGCCACGGACATAAAACTTCAGTTAGCTTCGACTCCTATTATAAGATACAAAACAAAGAAAAACTGGAGACCAACACCTTGAAGTTAAAATAGTGGAAGATTCTCGCGTGTGGATACCGAAAGGTATTCAATAGGGTCTGTACCTAAAGTTGTAAGCTTAAAGATATAAAACAGATCACCAACACTTCGTGAGAATGCAGCAGTATATTTATTTTGTTGACCGGTTTCGACCAGAGACGGTCGTCATCAGAACAATCAAGCATGTAAATTTATCTATTGAAGTAAAATATGCGGATGACGTTGCTAAAAACAAAATAAAATGTGGACTGTTTTGTACATATGCGGACATGCTTAACAACGGTATTTTATACAAGATGTAATCCGTTTACGTTGTCTCTAAGGCTTTTTCTGACTTAAGATTTAGTAAGTAAATTAAATAATTGTTTTTATGATTAATAAAATAGTCCATAAAATCTGTGGATCGTTATTCTTCTGTTTTGTCATCCTTGTAGACGTCATTGTAACGTCGCGCGTTTATACTGAAACAGCCTGAACTGCTACAAGGATGACAAAACAGAAGAATAACGATCCACAGATTTTATGGACTATTTTATTAATCATAAAAACAATTATTTAATTTACTTACTAAATCTTAAGTCAGAAAAAGCCTTAGAGACAACGTAAACGGATTACATCTTGTATAAAATACCGTTGTTAAGCATGTCCGCATATATGTACAAAACAGTCTACATTTTATTTTGTTTATAGCAACGTCATCCGCATATTTTACTTCAATAGATAAATTTACATGCTTGATTGTTCTGATGACGACCATCTCTGGTCGAAACCGGTCAACAAAATAAATACACTGCTGCATTCTCACGAAGTGTTGGTGATCTGTTATATCCTATTATAAGAGATCATTCATCTTTAGGTCATGCATTTACCTGGCTCAGTACCAATTGAATAACAGTACACATCTAGATTTTAATGTTGAAAGAAGATGAATTTTCTGGACTAATAAAAAGAGAATGCGTTTTCCTAGTAATGTAACAAATTTTACCAGATTGTCCATGATCTGTCGCTAACTCCTATTAACTTAAAGGCTCTTTGTACCAAAAGAATGCATGTCGTTAGCTGGTGTGTGAAGTCCAAAGTTAATTCACAGATTAAATATAAAATCAATATATTAAAAACTCAGTGCATCTCAGTCATCAGATTTCAATGGCTGGATTTCCAACTTGATCCTAGAAATATGATCACTGGGTCAAAGGTCAATACAATTTAAATACAGATTGGAGGAATGGTGTATATGTTTTACAACTACATGTATTTCTACATTTTTACAAAGTTGTACAAAAAAAAAAATCACTAATCCGGTATGCTAAGTATCAATTCAAAATTCCCATTCCCAAAATACATGTATATTCTAAAAACTTTATGTAATTAAAGAGATGATTCCCTTTCATACCATGTCACATTAGTGTACATGCACCATGACATGTTTTGTGAACAAACAACGTGACAAAATGTTTCACTATTTATTCAGTGTAATGAAAATGACTTGGAAAGTCTACATTTTCTAAAAAAAAAACATTTCCAACATTCCTGATTACAGTATGAAACGGTAATTTCCTTAATGCATTTACATGTAATAATGTATCTCTGTGAACCAATTCCATATTCTTCAATGCTTATCATCTTGACTATAGTTTTTAAATTTGTTTTTATAATAATAACATTTTGAACATTTCAAGAAACTCTGTACATCTACATGTAATTGGAATCTTGTTACTCAGTAAATGCATTGTATTATACCCAATACCCTTTTTAGATAAATGTATTTAAGAAAACAAGAGGTCCATGGGCCACAAAGCTCACCTGAGTCACCTTGGCACTGCTGTTCTTCAGAGGAAGATTTTTTTCTTTATTAATTCCAATGACTCCACATTGTAGCTCTTAGCTAGCCACAAGGGGTTATTTGACCAGCTTGAATCCACATACCATCAGGCTGCTTTAATATCAATATGACTAATATGGCCTTGCTGTTCTGTAGAAGATTAGCATTATGTTAATTATGATCTCCCATTTAGACTCACCCTAACCCAAGGGTCCACAATTTGAATAAAACAAGATGTGTTTGTAAAACACTGATGTCCCCATATGGCAATTCATGGCCAAGGTTAAAGTTTTTCAAAAGTAGTCAAGAGGTAAGAACTGTTGGTACCCAAAGATAAGTCTTGTCACAATACAAATATAAAGTGTGAAAGTCCTTGCACTAACCATTTAGAAGTTCCTGCTAAGGTTAAAGATTTTTTAAATGATAGGTGAAATGCCAAGGTCAAGGTCATGATATTAACAGTTATTGGTACCAAAAGAAAGGTCTTGTCACAGGGAATACACAGGTGAAATAGGAAAGCCCTAGCACCAACCGTTCAAAAGTTATGACCAAGGTTATTTTTTCAAAAGTAGGTCAAACTCAAATGGTCATGAAGTCAAAAATATGCACTACCTAAGGATGCTCTTATATTAATATAACTTATTCTGACTGTTGTTTTTCAAAAGATTCAATTTTTTCTGTATACATGCATTACCATGTAAAACTTTTTTCTCCTATTGTAACCCACCCTACCTCAGGGGCCATGATTTGAATAAACATGAATATACACTACCTCATCAGGATGCTTTATTTGAATGTTACTCATCATGACCCTGCTTTTCTTCAGCAGAAGATTTATAAATGACTGTTCCTATAATTTCCAGGTAAAACTTTGATCCCTTATTGTGGCCCCACCTTTCACCCAGGTGCAATTATTTGAAAAAACTTGAATCTACACTATGTCAGGAAGCTCTCTTAGGTTTCATCTTTTCTGGCCCAGTGGTTCTCGAGAAGATTTTTAAAAGATAACACCATATTTTCATCAATTCCTTAAAAGATGGCCTTCCACTTGAACAAAATTGAATCCCATTCACCCAAAGATGCTTTGTGGCAAGTTTGGTTGAAATTGGCCCAGTGGTTCTAGAGACTAAGCCAAAAATATTAAGAAGTTTACTGATAGAAGTAGACGGATGTTGGACAAAATGTGATCAGAAAGGCTTACTTGAACTTTCAGCTCAGGTGAACAAAAAATCCATAGAATATTTTCATAGATTAATGTGAACATAACCTCCTGTACATTGAAAATAAACAGTTCTACTTACACTTTCTATAAGAATATCATATTAACCAATCTTTATTGCACTATACCCTTTTGTTATGTTTATCATAGCTTAAATGTTAAATAGGTTCATAAAATAATAGCTACCTAACAAAATGTAAAGCTGATAAAATTATATAAGAGTATAGACTAATTCTTCTAAATCTAAATAAATGTTAGAAGAAAAAAATGGATATTATTTGTAGATATTGATGAATATTATTCTGTATTTTTGGGGAAAATTTATATAATACATGAATATAGCAAGAGCTACATTTCACCCCTCAATCATGTAATGTGTATACATTGCATTTAAAAAAAAAATGTTTGAAAAATATGACAAATCATAAAAAACAGGCGTTTTTATAAAGTAATGAAGTTGTAATGTATGTGTGTAAGGGTGTGTATATGTGTGTGTCTGTCCTTGCACTTAGTCCAAACATGATTTTAGTAGTTTAATTTTCCTTTAGGTCATTTACCTACCGATGACTTGTCTTTCATAGATTATTCTTTATAGGCAAGAAAGGACAAGTGTGAAAAATGAAGTAATTTTTTCCCCCTCAAAAATACAATTTAAAGGAGGTGAATATTCACATAGAATATAATGTCAATATATATATATATATATATATATATATATATATATATATATATATATATATATATATATATATATATATATATATATATATATAAATAACTACTTGTTAATTCTTTATAACTGAATTTCTTAACAAATGAATAAAAGCAGTAGAGAAGAAAGAATAAATGATATTAAAAAAAGGGCCAAAAGTAGCATTTACTGAACATGGTTCTTTGTTTGGATCAAATTCAAGACAGCACAAAGAATGAGACAGATAGATTTATGCTAATTAAGTACAAATACATAAAGATTAAAGAGACAACAGTAATGGAAGCACTCTATATGAAAGACTAGATTATTAACATGTAAGATAAACTATACATATATAAATAAAACAACAAAAAATGACATGTAAAAGAGACAAATTTTACAATGTAGAGATTCTTAAGGTGAACACTTAACAGCATATGATTTACTTAGATAATAACTAAAACACATAACATACCCTAAAGCAAAAAAAAGTATAAAGATTTATCAATTGCAAGCATCACATATTAAAATGGTTTTGCACTCAAAAATATGCTACTGCAATATTGTATGTGATATGTATGGCCCCCATGTAGATACAGATTGTCATGGTGGGGTATTAAAACAAATTGGCTATAAACCTATCTGAGGTTTGTTAAACTGATTATTTAACATTCATGGCAAAAAGGATGTCTCTATAGAACACATTATAAAC